AGCGCCCCGGCCCGGCCCGGCCCGGCACCGCCCCGCGGGGGCCGCGAGAGCGGCGCGTGGGGCTGGGGGCGGGGTTTGTTTTTCCGCGCCCGCTCGGCATCGGCCGCGAGGGCGCGGGGAGTCACGTGAGGCGCGCGCGATGGCGGCTCCCGCGGACGGTGAGGCGGGAGGGCCGCGCGACACCACCGCTCCCCCGCGCCGCTCCCCGCCCCTGCTCCCCTCACACCCTCTCTGTTGCAGGCGCCGACCTGGAGGCCTCGCTGCTGAGCTTCGAGAAGCTGGACCGCGCCTCCCCGGACCTGTGGCCCGAGCAGCGTAAGTCGGGCGGGCCCGCGGCCCCGGGGCTGACAGCTCGGGGTGGGATGGGGAGAGCTCGGCCCGGGCCGGGCTCCGCTGGGGCCGGGCGGGGTGACGGTGCTGCCCGCAGGGGCGCTCATCCCCCGCCAACCTCCGCTTTCTCTTCCCAGTGCCCGGGGTTGCCGAGTTCGCCGCCTCCTTCAAAAGCGTAAGTGAGCGCTGCTCTGCCTTTCGCGTTTCCCTGTTCCGTGTGATCGTAGRTCTGCAGGTTCTCTTGCAGACTTTACATCTTCGTTCTGTGAACCGCATCTCACTTATGAGTGCTGTATATGCTACAATAAACCTTTTGCACTTAGTGTATCTTTTATATATGTGTTTCTTTTTTGAATCTTACGCAGCTTACTGTGAACGAGAATTATACTTTGGAAGAAATAAAAGGTTTTAAACTTCAGAAAATCCTATTTTTGTACTGATTTTTGGCTTGTGGATGGTAGTATGCTGTTTTTGATTCTAAAATACCAAGGAAAAAGCAAGATTAAATGTAGAAGTATCTCTATGGAGCACACAGAACTCTCATATTTTTGCTGTCAGTATAACTAGTTTTCAATATAGATCACACTTCATTGTATAATTCTACAAATGGACTCTTTGGAACATGAGCTTTTTTTTTTTTYCCCCCCAAAACAGCCTATTACAAGCTCTCCTCCCAAGTGGATGGCTGAATTAGAAAATGATGATATTGATATGTTGAAGGGTAAGTATGGATATTGTGGGCAGGAACTGTGGTTGCCAAAGCAGATGGGAATGCAATACTTACCTAAGAGGYTTGTCYTTTACCACAGGGAGGTAGCCCTGTGGCCTCAGATGTCTAGCCATCATACTTGCAGAATCGCCAGCTCAGGAGTCTCTTTATCTTGTTAATGATAGACATTTTTCATTAAACCAGTTATTCCCAAAAGGCTATTCAGATTATCAGTGGCAGGCTGATTTTTCAAAACAATTAGTATAATATTGTATGTATTTCAGTCACCTCGCTTAGCCATTTTTATCACTGCATGAGTGTAGTGAGTGTCTCCTGTGCTTTGAGAAGTAGCATGAATTGTTTGGAGTGGCCTAGCTGATCACTTGGTGAGTAGCTTAGGCATGTCAATTGACTTGTTCCAAGATGCTTTATGTCTTCCCTCGCAGATCCAGGAGCTCTAATGGAATGGTGAGGTGGTATGGGCAAGTTACACAAGGCTTAGCTAGTATGTACCATTGCTGCATGTTTCAGCTGTTAGTTTGCAGTAAACATCCTTGAACATGCTCTGCCTCTGGTGAATTCCAGATGGTGATGAGTGATGGTGTCACACATCTACACTGCTACAAAGGGAAAGTGAAATGAATTATGCTGTAACATATGGGCTTAAACTCACATTATTAATGTAAAATAAGTCCATTCTCATGTGTACTTTACTGTAGCTTGTTCATGTAGCATTGTGAACTTACAGGAACTTCCACTGTATGGGTCAGATTACTCTTTGCAGTGGTGGCAGATTAAAGCATGAACTAGAGCCATGGCTGTGTTCTTCACTATGTTAAAATTAGGAGTGGAGTCAGCTTGAATTTTGAACATAGGCTGTTCACTGAAATAGATCCTGACAAAAATATGGTTTGAAAGTGCTCTGTAAAATAGTAAACAGGTGAATTGTCATGGGAAGAATATATATAGTGTTAGAATTCACCTTTTTCTTTCTTCTTAAGAGTTGGGGAGCCTCACTACTGCTAACTTGATGGAAAAAGTTCGTGGCCTGCAGAACCTGGCTTATCAGCTGGGACTGGATGAATGTAAGTGCTGTGAACAGATGTGACTGACTGCATAGAAAATCTTTTTGTTAAAGCACGTGCTTGTACATTTGTAGCTGGAAAAATGTGTTGGCAGATTTGACAAGTGTTTGACAGTGATGTGCAACAGGATGAGAAAATGAGCTTACATCTCCAACGTACAGCCTACCTGCATGGGGGAAACAGAAACAACATRCGCTTGTATGTCAGTCTGGTGTTACCGAGTGGCACTGAGACTTCTATTCCTGAGTTAATGTTGTCTTGCGTAAATCAGGTCACTTCGCTTAATTTCCCACTCAGATACTAAAGCTATTTCTCAGAATAGTTGTGGCAGTACTTCTCTCGAATTTCATGCACTGCCTCCACAGTGAGACTTGCACCTGTGTATAGGATTCTCCTGTCACTTTGTGTTCATACTGTYTTCTGCTTCTGTAGCTGTTACTTTTTTCTGTACCTGTGGCAGGAGGTGATGTCATTGAGTAATGAAGTTGACCTTCATCCCAGTGGCAAACAGCCAACTCTTACTGTGTTTTTTTTAAGAAAGAGCTATTTTCATTGTCTTGTGTAGGACTCTCTTGTTAACAGATTGATGCAGCGTTGAGGATTTCAGGAGTGTTGTGGAGTTGGTTTTGATGCTACCCGTATATACTGACACTTYTTTTTCCTGTTTAATTTTTCTCTAACATAGACCTTGGTTGCAGTTACTCTTGGGCTGCACAAAGCACCAAAAGTTTTAAATCTTTCACCTTCCTTTCAATGGATAACACATCTTAGTAATTAATCTTTAGAGTCTTTCTGACTGCAAACCTAGGATAGCCTAATGCRTTCTTATTCTTAATCATTAAGCTTGTTTTAACATACTTCAAATTTATTTTACTTTCAATGCTAACATCTRTTAAGACTGTGTAAAGCTTTTGATGGAGTAGAAGTTAAAGTGTAACAGCGTAAAACTGAGTCAAATGCAAAGAGTGGGTGATGGTTGGTTTTCCCAGTTAAGTTGTAGGCTCTGATGTCAGACAGCATTGTTCTGCTAAATGGACTTTAAGCAGAGCCTGAGTTGCAGTAAAGATAGACAGGTGTTTGTTTCCTTATTCAATCTGCAATATTTGTTGCATGTGTTTCCATTTRTTTTTACTGAGGACAAGTGCTTATGTAAAGAAGACAGAGTGAGTCAAAACTRAAATATGTGAGGCTCAATAACTTATTTTCTTGAATTTTCGAGCTTTATTAAAGGTTTCCATGCTTTTAACTTCTTGTCACCTATGTCAGTTTTCCTTTATACTATAATCCATTGAATACTTTGTGTGTCGTAATATACATTTATCTTTGGACAATTTTTACCAAAAATTAGTTGTGGAATTTGAGCAGAGCTGCTCAGCATTGTTTTTCCTACTACTGTCTTTAAGTTATTTTCTCTTACTGACGTAGGTAAGTGAGAGAACAAGAAAAAAAATCCAAAAGATCTGCTGGTTAAAGTTAAGGGACTTGTGGTTTTGTCTCGGAAGCATTGGATTTGGTTATATCTTTTCTTTGAAGCGGAGTAGTCCCTTTTTGACTTGGCTGGTTGATTCAAACTGTCTAAAGCAGGGCAAAACCTGCTGCTGACCAGTTTCCTCTAGATGGCAGCATGAGGCCTCATGCAGAAATCTTGCTTCTCTTCGCTTTATAAACCTCTGATATTTCAGTGATGGTTTGAAGTTGTGCTTCCCAAGATTGTTTTTTGTGACATATTTTCTCTTCAGAATGTGCATTTTTTTATGGTGTTCTCAAGTGTTTCATAAACAGTGGATGTGAGAGACAATTATGCCTCATTGTGTTAGCAACTTACTTTTCCTTCCAGCTCTTCCCTTCTAGATTCCACCTCACATCCTTTATATTTTCAAAGACTTTTCATCCAAGTTATTAATAAAATGCTTTGCAGGACCAGGGTGATTTCTGCAGCACTCCATGAAAAATGTGTCTGGGTGACACTGCAACCATGTGAAATCTGTTGTTSTTATACCCAGTTCACAGCATACTTTATGTCCGTTTTGTATTAGAATTCATTTGGCAAAGTGCCATGGGACTTGGTACCTTTTGAAAAGTTTGTTCATCGAGGTACTATTGCAACATTAGCATTGAAATCTGAGTAATTCGTTTGACATGATGTAGTTTGATAAATTAATGATTACTGAATTACATGTCTTKTTTTTTTCATTCATATAATCTCTCATTATTTTGTCTACATAACTGGGCTTTCTTGACAATTTTTTAGCAAATGTACGGAATGTTTTGTCCATCTTCATGGGACGTCTGGATGGTATTCATCTAGGGCCCGTTATCTGAATTCCAGATAATAATATTTTTATTATCTGTAATTCCAGCTGTCCCTAACTTTTTGGCCATGGATTTCTCAGTTTCTCTTTTGATTGCATGCTTTTCACAGATTTTCTTTCTCCAGAAACTAACTTCCTCTTCTCTTTTTCCTATAGGTTTGCCTTTACTTTCTGTAAGTCAAATTAATTTGTTAACATAAAGTTTAACTTTTTGTTCCACCTTGATCTTTCACTTTCCTCCTGGCATGCTAGTAGGYGGATTCTTGCTAAGAATGTTCTTTGTAGAGTATTCTTCCCTTCCTTAGCACAGAATTCACTTCAAAGGATAGTTTTCCTTGAGTGAAGCAGGATTTTTGTAGCATGAACCTTTATTTTCTTTTTTTTAAATTCTTACATTCCTCTTAAAGGACAGTCTATCCTTGGGTCTGTTTTGTGTATTTTTGCTAAAAGGTGATTTTGGAGTTCTCTAGCAGCTTCCAGGCTCAGGATGTTGTATCAATAAAGTCTTTTAAAAATAAATTAGTTTTTAGGACTTCTGGGGTCTCATCTTGTTTTTCCTTGCCTGCTTTTTAAGCTCTGTAAAATCCTACCTTGCCCTATTGCTGTAGCTGCTTTTCTCTTTTTGCTTTGGCTCTTAGAATCACAGACACATTTAGGCTGGAATAGATCTCCAACATCATGAAGTCCAACCTTTTTATCTTAGAGGTTCTGTTTTCCTTCTTTTAATGACTTACTGGTTAGAATATGTTGAAACCATTTTTAGTATTGAAAGTCCTGCTTTGTGTCAATCTTGCTGTTCCTGTTAATGTATTTTAAGGGAGAAGGAATTGGACTCAATGAGTACACTGACTTTTAGTTGTTCTTGCAGTTAGGGTKACTTTGGAAGGCGTAGTAGCTCTTCTGACTGTGAGCTGCAGCCACTCAGTGAGTCTCATTTCTGAGTTTTGGGGAAGAAAAGGTATAGGCATGTTATGTTGCTTTGTTATGAGCTTTCTCCTCCCCTCTGTGTCCCTTACTTTTTCCATTTGCAAGCTTTGCTTGGAGTGGGGTAGTGAGCATGGCAGAATGAGGAGACCCCAGCTAATGTAGCAAGCAAGAGGGAGATAGTTCTTTTTTGGGAACAAGGTCACAGACCCTGGCTCAATGTTTGTGGCCCACAAAGCAGCAAATTTCAAAACACTTAGTGTAAATAATTGCAAATTTAAATTGCAGGCTTTGTTTTTCCACTGTATGATGCATTGCACCTTTTACAGCATTAGAGTCAAAGTTGACTTTAGAATAATTTTAAAGTCTTGGTTTCATGAACTGGCAATTCTGAAAAGTCCGTGCATTTAAAGATATGCCCTGTCCTCCTTTGGAATATATTTGTACAGAGAGATGTACATGAGAACTGYATATTCAGAGCAAAATGTTTTTCTTATAAAAAAAATTGAAAGTTCTTTTTCCTAACTTTGGAAAAATACGTACATACAAAAGTAACAGGTATGTAGGATAGGAAAATGGGAAAAGTGCTATGTCACTTAAGGAATGTGGTTGTCTGGGGACTTTCTGAAGGCCATGCTATTGTTTCCCTGTGTATCTCTGGTATTTTTCAGGTAACACCTGCTGTACTTGTTCAGAAGTCCTAAAATGTAAAAGTAGATAGCTGGTACCACAGTCATGTTAGTAAAATCCCACTGAAGCCAGAGAGGTTTTCTGGCTGCTGTGCCATCCAGTACAGCTTTGGCGATACTGACAGTGCAAGACTTCCTGCAAACACTCTTCTTTTTAAGCCCCAATATCTTTGTGATGGTAATGGTGCCTGGGTGCTGTATGTGCCGTAAATATTAGAAAATATGATAACTGGCCTAACAGATATGAATATCATTTATAATTTCCCTGTCAGTAATTTTTGCTAGTCTAATCTCATGTGTTAGATTAAATTTTTACTCGGAGTTGAAGCTAGTTTATGTTCTTGCTGTAAATTTAGGAATGACTATATTATCCAATGTTAAATCCTCATAGTCTTTCAAGAGCAATGAGACCGTTCCCAGACATGTTTAGCCAAGTCTCCCTATTTTTAGTTTCCCATGTTTTTGTGCACCCTGGCTTTCACTTGGTTCTACCAACTTTGAACCTKTTTTCTTTGTAGCACTGATTTATTTTCCATATATGTTCAAGCAAATTAACTACCAAGGGTGCAGTGGAAGAACTATTTGATCAAGGATGGATGATGACCTGGAAGATTTCAGGTGAACAGCAAAAGGTTGATCACCTTGTAGCACTGGACTAATAAAGGAAAAGCCAACCCAGATTTAGTCAGTCAGTGATGGTTTTCTTTAATATGAAGAATAAGTAAATGATTGCTTTTTTTTTTTTTTTGCCTGGAGAGAAACAGCAGATGTAGTATGTGAAAAGATCTGTGAAATATTTATGCAGAGAAAGTGTAAATAGGGAMTGACTTCACTTTCTGTATGGGATCCAGAGAGAATAAAATCGTCTTGCCACAGACATGAGGAAATACTTGTGTTGTGCATTAAAGTCAGAACCCATTGCCACTGGAGTTTGTGGGCATGGAGTTTCTCACTCAATAATGAGATAAATTATTGGAACATAAATCCATCAAGGGTGTCTGACTGCTGAGAAGTCACCAGTGGCTTGTACATCTTAGAGATGCAGAAAACAGAGAGATTACTAGGCAGGTACAGC